ATTTTACTTTATACATTGAAATTTTTGATGTATGGGGTATATGTTTTATGTGACCATTTGCACCATCTTTTGAAAATTTATATATTCTGATAGTTGTGGACTATGTCTCAAAATGGATTAATGAAGTTGCTCTTCAAACAGTGATGCTCAAAGTGTCGCTAAATTCTTAAAGATGAATATCTTCAATAAATTTGACATGCCTATAGTGGTCTTTAGTGATGGAGGAAGCCACTTTAAGAGTAGAAAAATTGAGACACTAGTTGTTAAATATGAGATTAAACATAAAATAGCCATAACATATCATCCTCAAACAGTAGATTTAGCAAAAGTATTTAACAGAGAAATTAAGAGGATTTTATAAAAGACCGTCAATCCCAGTAGAAAGGAATGGGCTTTAAGATTAGAAGTTGCATTATGGGCTTATAAGACTGCTTACAAAACTCCTTTAGGAATGTCTCCATATAGTCTCATTTTTAAAAAAGCTTGTTACTTGCCAGTGAAATTAAAATATAAATCTTATTAGGCTGTTAAGGAATTTAATTATAACATGAAAGAAGCTGGTAAGAAGAGATTATTGTAGCTAAATGAACTCAAGAAAATTATACAAGAATCTTATGAAAATGCAAAAATTTATAAAGAAAAGATGAGAAATTGGCATGATCAGAAGTTTCTTGGGAAATATTTTCAACCTAGACAGGAGGTTTTACTTTTTAATATGCAATTATAATTATTTCCTGAAAAACTTAAGTCCAGGTGGTCGGGGCCATTTACTATAATTAAAGTTTATCATTTTGGTAAAATTGATATTAAGGATCCTATAAGTGGAAGGAGTTTAAAGTGAACAAACAAAGAATTAAACCTTACCTAGGTGGAGAAAATCCTATAATTAATAAGGTCTTAATGTTGGGTCAACCTGAGTAAGCATCTGGATATGTCGGGCTGATGACGTTAAACCAAGCGCTTCTTGAGAGGCAACCCGAGTTTGTTTTTATATTTAGGTGTAATTTGTTTGTTGTTTGTTGTGGTGTGAAGTTGTTTGTGTTTGTGTGTTGAAGTATAAGATCTGATGTGGATGTGGCTGTACTTTTGTTTTTCTTTTTCCTACTGCTGCTGCCATGTTGAACTCTTTTGTATTTCTTTGATATGTTGGATGATTTATATTTATGTGTGAGGATATTGATGTGTTCTTTGCGCTATTTACTTTTGGTTGTTGCGTTGATTGTTATGCATTTCTGTTGTCATTTTAAACTCTTTCTGAAGATATTTTTCATTCTTAATCTGATGAGATGTGATTTAATACTTGTCTTTTCTATTATACTTATAAAACTGTTATGAATAGACTCATGTGATAGGAAGTATTTCGGTGCTATTTTCTTCCTACTCATATTGATGTTATACATTGTTATATATGGCAAAATTTAAGTTGGAAGGGAGGGGGGAATCTTTCAAAGCCTTAAATTTATTTGTCCTCAATTACCTGCATTTCAAAATATTGAGATTTAAAAGGAATTTGAGTTAAGTGGTTTTAAGTTAAAAATTATTGCAATTTTGAGTAAATAAAAACATAGAATCTTTATTTTAGATTCTGTGTAAATAAGTCTAGACTATAGTATAGTTAACTCGCAGTTTAACCTGATAAAAAATTGGTTTCACTATTTACTTTTTATAAAGGTCATATATTTGTAAATTAGATATCCTTAAACATACACTTCAAAAGAATTAGGTCTATTCAATATAAATTTCAATTATTACATATGTCCATTGAAAAATTTTAAAATAAAAGTGGAAGAGTGTTATAAATTTCACTTTAAAAAGATGATAGTGGAATCCAAAACTATTAAAGGTCTATCAACATATAGTAATCCTCCTTAAAGTAATGCTAAGGATTTTTTAAAAAAAATCAGATTCTAAAGCAAGAAAAGAAAAAAAAGTGTGAAAAAAAAAGTATTATAGAGAGGAGAAGCTTGAGGAGCAGTTTGATCAAAAATTGGTTTCAATAGATTCTTTCTAAAGTTAGAACTTTATTACACTCTTAAGCTTATCTTACTTCAAAGTAAATATGTAAGTTTTTCTTTTGGAGTGTTTAAATTATGCTTTTATATCTTCTAAGCTTCTTTACAAATCAAGTTTTCCTCGTTAAATGAAAGGGTCACTTTGACCACAGGGTTACACTTGTTTACTAGATTTAATTTAAATTCATTTTTTGAATTTCTTGAGGCAAAATTGTTAACGATTTTAATGGAACCCACCTCCTCAAATTAATAAAATTAATTTCGATATATCTAGTGTTATTTGAGGACAAGTACCGTTTAAGTTTGAGAAATTTTGATATGTCTAAAAATATGCTTAATTTCCTTTATCTTTTGCACCTATTTATGGATGAATTTGCACTTAAGAACGATATTTTTGTGTTTTACTTGCAGTTACAAAAGTTAGTAAATGTGGAACAAAATGTCGAAGAAGTGGAGTGAAGCGGAGGTGAAACAAAGCAAAATGATAAACCACAGTTTCAGCTGAACCAGATAAAGAGCCTAGCTTCTAGGCGCCAGCAATTGTTTTGTGATTTTTTAGAAGTTCCTTTATCGGTTATGTTGCGAATATAGCCGACATTTGGTAATGCTTAGAGCAATTCTAAGCTATCTAAAGTGGGGAGAAGACCTCTAAACCCTAAAGGAAGTCCTAGGGGAGTCTAGAGTTTAGTTGTAGTTTTAGTTTAGATTGCTTATTGCTTTTTATTTCAGTGTTTGGTGAGGATTTGGAGGGATATTGTAGAGAGGTTCTTTAGGAAGGCAGCAAGGACTTGAAAGATCTTCTTAGGAAAGATTTCCAGTGCTTGGGAAGGAAAAAACTAACTATTGTGGACTCCTTTTTGTTGTAGCTTTCTTTATACATAATTCTAGTGGATTGTCTTGTTTTAAAAATGTGATGTGGTAATTTCTCTATGCTTTGTGCGTAGTTCCTTTTACCTTTCCCCTTGTGATGAATGAGTAGTTGGTTTAGATCAGTCAAATGTTTTTCAAATTGGTTTTTACTCTTTAAAGTGATGATTTTCCTTCTGTGCTTCGCTTACTTATCATTTTGGCCATGCTTTGTTAAAATTTGTTCGAACCCATAAAAACTTGAGAGAGCTATGACATGAACAAGTATGAAGAATCACATTGAACTATAAGGTATGAAATAAAAGTAGTCTATATGGAGATGCAAATAGATAGGAAAATACTATTTAATGGGATCAAATTGGGGTTTAAGTAATTAAAACCAGTAGAACCAAACTTCTTTATACACTCTGGAGATGGTAAAGAAGATAATTGCTTCTATTTATCACTTACAACATTTTCAATTTATTGTGTTCACTATCTACACACCACTTATACAGTTTTAAAGGGGATGATAACCTTATCACTTGATTTCCTTCAAATTTTAATATTATTAATAGAATTGGTAATTAGAGTAAATCATTAGTATAACTTTAAACCTATCAAGTTTTCCAAGCTGAGAACTAGTTTAGTAGGCTAGAACTTGTCTTAAGATTGTAACATCTATTTTTCTGTTGGATCAACAATCCAAACTCAAAAATTTGATATTACTCGAAACGATCACGTATACTTGCGTGATACAAAGAGTGGCAAGAAGAACTGACCTGGAAGCAAATTTGGCAGTCCAACACCCACACGTTAAGATTTTGGGGCCATTGCCTGTAAACAAAAGTATTGTGCCACATTACTGCACAAATCAAGTTCAAGATTTCACAATACAGACACAAAACTACGAGTGAGCTAACCGCAATCTTGCACACCTCATCATGTTCCAACCGCAAAAACAATCTTGTGGCGGCGATGGTCGTGGCCTAGCAACCATGGTCTGACGCGGTGACAGAATATGGTGATCTAACGATGGTGAAAGTGTTGGCTAGGAAATGGTTGTTTGACGATGGCGACGACCCAATGGAAGTGGCCCGACAATAATGGAGTTTAAGAACCCTCAAAAGTTTAGAGCTCTTTCAGTTTTCTTTTGTAGGTCCAAGCCTCCCCTCTCATGAAAGAGTGGTGGTCTATTTATAAATTTTGTGAGTATTATCCTTCATATACATTGAATGAATTTGAACCACTCCATCAGTCGGCTCAGAATCATTACATTGATTAGATATAATTTTATTAGTATTTGAATATCTTAATGATGCCAACATTAAGTTATCTTTGATTGGTTGGATTTATTTTGCCAAAAAGCATGATCTCACTATAAAGTTGCCAAATTTAAAGAAGATTTAGTCTGCCAAAATATGTCAAACCATTTGTTCATGCCTCAAGTGCATGATGTGAAGCTCACTTGGGCTTAGATCAGATAATTGTTTGTCATTTAGTTTGTCTCAATTTAGCAATATGCATGTAAAGCTTTCTAGAAAAATATTAGTTGCAGCGGGACTTACCACCATTACCAATTTCAACCCCATTCCTTAGACACCATAGAACAAGAGGGCAGAAAAAGTCTAGTTGTGCAGTTGTGCACCTAGAAGTTAAATTTAAATAAATGATAATTTTAAATGATTTTGAATACACATATTATACCATTTTTATCCACATAGTTGAACAGATCCAGGATGACCCCTCCAAAAATGAGAACTCAACTCTTTTTAAGGTCTTGTTTATCCACATAGTTGAACAGATCCAGGATGACCCCTCCAAAAATGAGAACTCTTTTTAAGGTCTTGTATATATATATATATATAGATATATACATACATACATACACACATATATGCAATTATCAATAAAAAAATTTTACACAAAAGAAATACTATTAAAAAATAATTGGCGTAATGAATTTGCTGGCTGAAAGAAAAGTTAATTCCACCCCTACAAATAAGCTCAAGGGGCATAAAAATGCTCTAGGCATGTAAAAATGATGTAATTGCAATTTTTATCGCATCTACCTTTAAGCGATATTTTGTTTCTCAAGCAGCAAAAAACATTCAAACAGACTAAAAAAAATGAATCCACAAGAATCAAATTGAAAATGCCCACCTGTTTGCAGTTCATAGAAATCAAAGTGCTACCGAAAATTAAGAGGACTTTGTTTGTTTCCCAATCCGGCAAAATGCCCAGCTTCACTATTCTTCACATGAACTAGAAACCACTTCATCTGTTGTTTGAAGATAGCATTCCGTGCTTCTTGAAAAATTCCCGAAATCCATATGGGCTAACGTCATGATTAAACTGAGCACAATTTACAAAAACAAATTCCACAATTCAGCAGGGCAAATGATGACGAATAATTCAAGTCATCTGATGCATGATGCACTTTCATATTTAAGAAATAAAAAAAAAATTCATATATCGCAAGCTGCAAATTATATGATATTAAATGGCTGAATTGAATCTTAATGACAGCGAAACAATGGAAATGTCTAAAAATGTCTGCGGAAAAAATTAGAATTAGCAAACAAAATTGATTTTATAAAAACAATTTCCGATGTAAAACCTTCTATGTAAAAGTGAATTTAGGAGCAATAAATTAGTCCAAAGATTAGTTATGCAAAAAAATAGAGAGACCAGAATTATCAAAGCAAAAATTAAGTCAAGCGTCAATACAATATCATTTCCCCTAAAATTAAGGACACATTGTATTTAAACCTTCAAAGTTATAAATTACATCTCATTCTGACAAAAAACAAGAAATAAAAAAAAAATACATTAAACGAACTCCCAAATTTCAAATACAACGCACCAAACTAGACACCCAGGTGCAGATATCCCGCTAACTAAAATCCAACAACGATTCCACAACAGTATTCAGTTGGATTACTGGTTTGGCTCTGGCTGTGATTACAACAAATATAACGCTAAACGGTTTGCCCTAACTTTCTATCCTTTTTTCTTTGGGCATTTACATAAAATTAAATTAGACACGTTGAAAATTGAAATTATTGCAGCATTTTCCAAAATTTCCAACTTGCGAGCATTAATTACAATGTGTTGCACAAATTTAAATTATCTTGTCTTCCTTGCAAGTAGTTTCCTAAAAGGTTCAATATGGAAGAATTTTGGATTCAAAATCACTATGATTAAATCACTCAATTTAAATTCCACATGCTTATCCTGCTGTGATCAATAATCAATTAATGTGAATATCCTCATACAAATTATGCACATGTGCAAAAGAACTAAATTTAGATTCTATTAGTACGTTAACAAGATTTATAAATTTTCAAGCTATATAATCTATGAAAATTTCAAATAAATCAATTCGAGCACACTTATTGGCAGATGATACAAAGACAATCTTAACTATGTATCATTTAATGTCAAACGGCAAGATAAATCTCCAAAGTTTTTATCAACTATTTCAATTTCGTGATCAAAATAAAAAACGTGTCAGACAAATAAAATAGTCTAAAACTAGAAAAATTAAATACAAACCATTTTGAGAATAATTATTATAGTACTCATAAATAAACAACAAAGAAAATGAACCAATTAATGAAAAATAAATAACTATGCAAAAATTAATGCAAACACGATGCTTCCAACAACAAAAATGCAATGAGTTCATGCGCCATCGAAATCAAGATCGTCCTAAGGAATAAAAAAAGTATATAAAATTCACTATCAAGAGTTCTCATGATCTTGAGAAGTCCCAAAAGTAGAATGCATATCTATGTAAATATTCCTGACACAAATTATGCATATATTGGACAAAAAAACTCTGCCTAGATTTTATAGGCAAGTTAACAACAAATATAAGTTCTTTAGGTTAATAATCTATGAAAATCTCAAACAAACTACTATTGGCATATTTATTGACAAATGAGTTGTATACAAACTCAACCATAAGATAGTACAAAAACCCATCAGAAAGTATGGCCTTTTATCAGCAATAAAATAAATCTCCAAAGCTTCTAGTAATCACATCAGTCTGACCATGGTGTTGGGAGATAAAAGCAATTAAAATTTTCTGTTTCAATTTTCTCCAAAAAATTTATTAAAAAGAAGCTCATGAATTTTATATCTATATCAGAAATAATTATTCAAGTAATCATGCAATTTAACTTCATTAAAATATAGTTTAGCAAAGTGAGATGCATCAATAATTTTATAGCATTATATGAAATGCATTATTTTTAAAAAAAAACGAGTTACCATTACAAATATAGAATCACATTTCCTTGGTGTTTGAGGTAAATTTTAGTACAAAATTCAGCCTTCCCAAGTTCATATGGAATTGGTTGAGATATAAACAACTTTGGATTTGATTTCATAGCCTTGGTAGACTAACAAGTTTTATATTACGAGATAATACATGCTAAATCACTCTTTGAACTTGACCAGCAAACCGTACTTTTCAAGTTATTGCAATAGCTTTATCTATCATAATTAAAGGCTAATAACACCATGCAATTCCAAAATCAAAAAATCCCTAAATGATGAATCAAGGATACAAAAACAGTCTGCTTTTATACATGGTGAAATCAATTACTTTGGCCTGCATTATATGTACAAGTGCAAAAGATCCACTCAGAGCATCAACAAATTTATTGCAAGGCTCAGCACATGTTACGGACAAAAAAATATATTTGTGAGAATTAAACCTACATAGTATATCTATGTCCTAACTTCCCTTCAGAATTAAGATATTTCAAAGCCTATTGATCATAAAAAACACCCCTTAGTTCCAACACTCCACTATCTACTCCAAATACATCAGAAGAAACCTCCAAACACTATTACAATCAAACAACACAAGTACAAGTGCCACTTGTAAGTCTCTTTTGATTTAAAAAAAAAAACCATGATTAGCAAATTTAATCAATTTGAATTACCGCTTCAAATAATTGTAATCAAAATAATGACAGTACTAAACCCTTTAATGAATCATCTACAAAAAATAGTCAAACAAATTAAAAATATGAATATGATGTACAATAGAAGGCTTTAGCAAATCATTAATCGCATTGCTGAATCCAAAAAGCATCAACAACCGTTCATATAATCTATCATTTGTTTAAAAAAGCAATTTTCATTCATTACATTCATTATAATTTGAAGATAACCACTCTCAAATAAGTCATAGAAAAAATAACAACATTTTTCATATTCAGCATTGTCATCCAAATGAGATATATATAAAATGTCTTTGATATGATTTTAATGATTAATTCATTATTAGTGCACATCCTTCAACTAACAATCATTATTAGGTCCGAACAAAGCAGATAGAACACGAGAATTTATGCTCCCTAATAAATTTCTTCTAATGTAAATCATTAACTTCTATATTAAGTTTAGCAAGTTCTACGAGATTTATTTTACAAAGTAACAATTAAGAAAATGAGAATCCCAAAACTAAATCAATGGCATGTTGTATATACGTAGTTATGGTAATTTATTAAAAAGATCATTAACACCAATATATTTAAATGATTAAATACTTAGATTAACATCATCAAGCAAAGTTAAAACTTCAAGCACTATATTATGCAACTAAATAGCAACCCATGCAAAGATTGCATCTTTCCATCCACTCTCTTCCAAAAATGTAAGTTTACTCAAATTATGCAAACATTTTCATTTCATTGGAGCATTAAGTTCTCGTATGACTTTAGTTTTTACCCGTGGGCTTTGTAGAATTCAAAACAGCATTCTCCCAATATTTTTAAAAGCATATGTATTACACCTTTTAAAATGAGTAAATCATTTAAAGCATAAAGCAAGATCCAACTAAAATAACCTAACCAACATCCATAATCAACTCATCACATGAGATACTACCAGTATAGATAGCTACCAAAGTGTATATATTAGGAAGATTGATATTAGATAACCTAAATTGAGTTGATCTAATTACAAGAAATTTTCTATATTAGAAATATTCCTAATCTATAAAGAAAGAAGTGTATATAAATATGTAACATATTCTTTCAATTGTGAAATAAGAAGGAAGTTTTCCCATTACATGGTATCAGAGCTACGCCCAGCTAGTCACTCCACTATGTTCGGCTTCATTCTTCGCACACGAGACTTAGATCGTGTCGATCGTCTTCGTTGGCGTAGATTGTTGTGGCGTTCGTCTTCGACCTGCACTACATAGTTCCTTGAAGCTTCCTCTTCAACTGTCTATGTTGCACGGTCTCATCGACACCGATTAAAGCTTGCTTTTCTTCCTACGATGAGATTAGGGCATTGAAGCTTCATCTGCTTCGACTTCTTCATTGGCTTCTTAAGTCTTTATATGGAAATATTTTTTTTTGCTTCATCTTCGACTGCACCATCTTTCTCTTCAGCTTCGTCTGCTTGGGGCTTCATCTATTAACCTCAAAGCCTTGACAGATGTAAGTGGAGGGGTTGTGTTCCCGTCCCTCGAAAGATCGAGTTCGACTATAACTTCAACTGCATCTTCGTTGAACGTCTCAACAATGTCGTCGCGTTGAGGACTCATTGAATATTTGGTGATAACCATGGTTGGTAAAAAAAAACATCTTGCGACGGGATTGGTTTCATCAATGGCTAAGATTATGAATGAAAGTTATATGGAATCAACTATTTTTATTGGAATAAAATTTTGAGAATCTATCTAATAAGTACTTCTTAAGAGTCACCTCATTGACAATGCCCCAGGTGAGACTATATCAAATTAATCTGAGAAAATGAGAGTGGATGCCTAGCTTTTGATACAAATACGGAACTCTATTGAAACTGATCAATATGGTCATGTTACCCATAGGGATTGTGTTAAAGATGCGGTGGAGGAATTGGTGTTTATGTTTTCTGGGAGAAAATATTTATCGAATTTTTGATGTCCGCAAGAAATCTATAGAGAAAAACAACATGATAGGTCACTTAGCACGTACAATATGCACTATAAGCGTGTTTATAAAAAATTGAATGTATTATTTCCCTTCAGAAATGATGTCCGGCTTCAATAGACTCAAATAGAACAAATTACTATTATAAGTTTTCTAGTTGGCCTCAACTCTCAGTATGAAAGTGTCGAATCCCAAATTATATTTAACCCTAGAGTTACTACTTTGAGGGAATCCCTATACTAGAGTGGTAAGTATTATTCCAAGCTCTCAAGCTTCATCCGTACAACTTAGTGCTCTTGCTAGCCAGAAAAATACATATCAATAAACCTCAGTCTTAGGGCAATTATAGAAGTGATAGTTTGAATTTTAGAAATCAAAATTCGAAGGTAATTTGCTACTACTGCCATGAACCTG